GACAAGTTTTTAACTGATTTACTGAAAACATATTTTGATCCTGAACTTCTGGGAGAATATCCTATTGAAAGGATATTTAAATATGACTCAGTGTCCAAGGGATGTCATAGTCCGATTTAACAACAGCTAAATCAAAGACTTGTTCATCAAAAAGCTTTGAAAAAACCCATCCAAGGATGAGAGATATTCCTCTATTTCTACTTTTGTGGACCTTTCTGCCACTATAAGATCTATTAGAAGAACAATTTTGAAAACTACTATATGCCTACAGGAGAACAACATATTTTCTATAGAGATTCTTCCCTCCACCTTTTTTTCCCACTGACTTAACTCCATGAGCTTACTGTTTTTACTTTACTTTACATAATAGTGCTACAAGTCATGTTTTATAAGAAACTCTACTAGTTTGAGGTCACAGTTTTTTAAGATACCCACAAAACGAATCATGATAATATTAATTTAAATATTTTGTTTCTCTCACCTAATGTGATGTGACATTTTTTTGAGCTTATAATAGTTATATAAGTGTTGTGCTTTCACTAGTTTGAGATCATTATACCTTAAATTAGCCACAAAATTAAAGATTATAATATACACCGGAAGACCTTATTATAGCACAGTATGATTTGTTAAGTATTATAAGGCGATCGTGAAGGGGGTTTGTATATATTTTTTTATTTTCTCCACATTTAAAACATATAAGAGATGTGCAATTTCTGTTATTCGTAACTGTTGGTAAATTATTGCTTGGTACAAGACTACATTAGCCAAAATTAAAAAAAATATCTTACTATTGCTTAGTAATATCTTACTATAGCACACTATAGTTTGCTAAGTACTACAAGTTAATGAGAATAATGAAGCAAGAAGCTAATACTCTTGGTCTGGAAATGAATGGGAGATTTTATTGGGAGGAATGGAAAAGAAAAAAAAAAGAATGGAAAAGATACATTTTTCTCTCCCCCTTTTTTTCCTCTCTCTTCTCTCTGAGCCATAAACGAGAATTACCATACTTATTAGTACAAATGATTTTGTTGAAGATTATATAATAGTCTCATACTCTGGGACATACTGAAACTAGTTTAGAATTATTATATGTTATCTGCTAGACATTTTCAAAACCCATCGTTAGAACGGATGTACTTTATTGATGTTTTTTTTTAGCTTGATAGTATTTCTTAAACAACCTATACAGTCCCTAAGGTACTCAAGAAATTATTATTCCCCTGAAAGTGGGGTTATTTTTCTTTATGTGTAGTTGTGTTTTTTGTTTTTTTTCTCATCTCTTCCCTCTGAGCCATATGAGAATTACCGCACTTGTTAGAATAAATGATTTTGTTGAAGATCATATAATGGTCTCATATTGTGAGACACAATGTGATTCCACTGGTTAAGAATAATATCTTATAAGCTAGACACTTAGAAATTACCATTAGAATGTATGTACTATACTAATGCTTTATGTTATTGTGGTTTTTTTATTTAAATATATATATATTTTGTTTTTGTTTTTTGGCTGCACTAAAACCAATCTTATCACAATATTATCTAGCTCCACAGAAATATACGCAAGCAACTGTACCTGGTGTTATTAGGGACATTTTTGGCACGAGATTAGAAGATCAGGTTTCCACACACATGCTATTAGGATGTGTATGTTTAGAGTCTCTATTCTAATAGACACTGGATTGATGAGTGTGTTTTGATTGACAGATGGATTTTTGATATATCAGATAATATTATTGTTCTTGTGATGATATGGTGGCTGACTGGGGCTAGATGTTCTTAAGTCTTATAATTATAAATTCACATGGCCTGATCTCCGTGGAGCTAGGTAATATTGTATTAAGATTGATTTTAGTGTAGCAATAAATATATAAATTAAGAGCGTGTTTATAAGACTTTTTAAAGAGACATAAGGTGGATATAGCATTAATCCAGGAAATACACTGGAAGGCTATTGATAAGGGTCTATGGAATTATCGCAAATACCCCAATAAATATACCTCAAGCTTTCTGGGTAAAAAAAGAAGCATGGAGTTGCAATAATAAATGCATCGTGAGTGAAGTTTGAATATACCCATCATAAAACAGATACATTAGGGAGATATTTAATATTGATCTACAGAATTAATTACATCACATTGATCCTAATGAATCTATACGCACCGTCAGACCATCCAGTTTCCATTTTAGAATCTGCATTGGAAATAGTTGAGCACCTGTCTAAGAGATCCCTTTTACTCGGTGGTGATCTGAACTGTGTGGCCTGTTGTGACCTAGGCAGAAAAAAATAAAGTAGGGACCGCAAGAGCAACACTACAGCTAGGGCGAAAGCGAAGGCTTTCTCCACCTCCTTATCTAGACGTGACTTGTAGGATATATGGCTTATCCAACATACAGAAAAGAAAGACTTTACTTTTTATTCTAACCCTCATGATTTGTATTCTCGAATAGATTTTTTTCCTATGAGGGCATCTTCCTTGGAATCTTGTAATCTCACCCATTCTAAAAACTGATAAGGATGCTACCAGTGTAACGTATAGGCTAATATCTCTAATCTTGATATCAAAATATTTTCTAAGATTTTAACACAGAGTATAACTCGTAATTTCAGATTTAATACATCCAAAGTGGGGTTCATGGTTTGCAAATCAGGAGAGGATAACACCACAGAATCATTGATGAAATCCATTCCAGGAAAATGCCATCTATTATAATGGACTTAGACGCAGATAAGACTTTCGATCGAGTAAACTGAAGATACTTGGCACAGACTGTGTGCGTTCAGTCTTACAGAACTTACTATGGCGCTGTACACCATTCCTAGTGTTAGGATCATGGGTCCCTTTCTCAGCTTCAAAATGCCACCTGTTACAGCTGCCCTGTTACTCGCTTCCTTTCTTTATGCCCTAACAATCTTAGCGGCTTTGCTAAGAAAGGTGGGTTGACAAGATCACCTGATTTCCCTAAATGCAGAGGACATCTTGCTAGAATTTGCAAAAAGTGTCACTTGTCCTAATAAATACAATTGAAGATACTTTGTGTCTGGATCCTCTTTCTACCGCTGATATATTGCTAGAATGGTCATCCCTTCTTCTCTGAAATTTAAATTTTTTTTGGAGATGTTCAACTCCTTTTCTAATTATGAAATTAACCTTTCTAAAACTCAACTTATACAGTTCTACTTAACTGATTTAGAACTCGAGATTTTTACAAAAACACAAAGTATTGGACTGGACCACCAAGATACGATTTTAAAGTCATGATGTCCAGAAATTACTTTTATTTGATCACAGATCTTGAAGATACAATTACTTACTGGAAGGGCATGGAGATCTTGTAGCTCGGAATAATAAACACTTAAATCCCATCTGGTCCCTAAAGTCATATCTTTTCAGTGTCATTCCGATCCCAATTCCTATCACGATTATAAAGTATATTGAAGTGTTTATTTTCATAATTTGTCCATGAAACAGAGAATTCCTAGTGCTATCCTTAAGAGAAACAGCGACTCAGATAGCCTGGGATACACAGAGCTACATAAAATCCATGAGGCCTGCATGCAGTTTCACCTATTAATGCTAAAAATCTACGGTGGTACAACATGGAGAGGAGTAAATGTCAAGGAATTGGCAGCTTCCTTTTTCTCTGGTTGGATGCCAAACATTTCAGACAACTCAAGGTCTAACCACATATTGAGAGGTCTGATAGCTTAAAGTTTTAAATTTAGAAAGATATGGCAATCTGTGTACAACAAAACCATCTTACTAAACCCGACCCTATTATAGCTCTGTCCCTTTATATAGAAAATCTGAAAAACTCACACTGGTCATTCTTTGATATAAGCGAAATCTCAGATCTCGACAGTGATATCCATGATTCCGTTTAGTAGACCTTCTCTGAACTCTAAAGTATCAATATCCTTCTGGAGATCTGGTCTCCAGTACTGCGTACAATACTCACCAGTGTACAGAAAAGCTCAAAATAGATGAACCACTCTTGTACTCCTGCAACCTCTCATTTAATTTTTGCTTTATTACAAAAATGTGCCAATGTGCTCTACCAGTTTGCCATACGAATGTGAACATGTTTAGTTGAACTGCATGCAAAGTAATCTCTTGCACTTCAAAAATAGAAGTAAAAAAAAAAATTATATATATTCCAATATGCCATTCATTTTTGATGAAAAAGTAGTTTTTATATCACCAAGTAAATTGTTAACTGTTATAACTTCTGGCCATCTCCCCTGTTACACCCCTCCCCTCTCTTTTCTTATGTGTATTAGACATTAATTGCAAAAAAAAAAACCACAAACACAAACTTTAGGATTTTGACGACTGGTAAGATGGTTACATTTTCTTTCCAGCCAAGAGAACCAAATCCTGAAATTAAGATCTAGGAGAGTCGACTGGGAATCAATATATTAGGACCATCCGTCAAACTTTCCCTACATCTGAAGAAAATTAGTTGAAAGATGTTCTAGGTTTACGATGCTTTATTGAACAAGGCAGTTAAACACACTGGTTTGACTATCCACCTTCTAAAGTCTGTAAAAAAATTCCACTTTAGCCAAGTCAATTCCCTAGCTTTACAGTTGACATCAATTTGTAGAACACTAAATTAAACTCACTTCTTCATAAAAGCGTATTAAACTGTTAATATCTCCCGACTCATTCCTCTCTTGCAATGGTCATTAGTCTAATACTATCCTTACCTTTTGTGTCACTTTACCCCACTTCCTCTTGCATGTGAGCTCATTGAGAAGGGCCCTCAACCCCTCTGTTCCTGTGTGTCCAACTTGTCTGGCTACAACTACAGGTTTGTTAGTCCACCCACTGTAAAGCGCTGCAGAATTTGTTGGCGCTATATTTAAATCGCATTGAAAGTTTACTTATTTATGTAGCTTGGAATCTTTCAAAAAAAAAAAATTTCTTCCCAGAAGCAGCAAGGTTTTGTTTATTACATAAACCACACAAGAATAAGAAAAACCAAGCCTGTCAGTTGTCTAGTGTATTTTTATTAAGCAATACAAAGGTAAGGGAAGCGTTACCACATCACTTGGGTTAAAGCTGAATTTACAGCAGCATACACAAGTTAACAGAACCTCCTACATAATTAACAGTCTAAAAACTATACAATTAAAAAAAAATTATACAATAATAACAGAACGCAAAATAGGTGGACTATAGGTTCCCTCCATCATACCTTAAATTATTGCATTTAAAATAAGCAGCATAGATTGAACAAGAGGAGTCTCTTGTGTAAATAGATTTGTATTCCAAAGCCAAGCAGTGTTTTTACACAGTGCCTAGAACTATAGGACAAGTTAAGGATATATACTGGAGTTGCAAGAAGTGAGATGATCTCATACAGTAAAAACCACAAACAAATATGTACTGACTTCATTTTCAAATAAAAACCTACTGTAAGTACAATAAAAAGGTTAAAATTTTGAAGAAATTTATGAAGACATTAAAATATGAGTTACTTAACCAATTTTTAGACTGTATGTATAGAAACTGCTTAAATATATGATAGGATGCTTCTTATTCCTGAGGACAGGTCCAGATACATTTTTACAAGATAAAACAGTCTAGATTTACTACAAAGAATAAATATCTGAGCATGCATCAACTCTCGCTCAACTAAATTGTGAAGGTGAATTGAGGAATGCTGAAATGCCAAACTCTGTAGAAAATAGTAATTCTAACAAGATCTTGATATATTTTAAATAATTCTTAGGAGTTCTTTTGGGGGATCTTTATTGTCACAGTTTTTGATTCAGTGTACTCCTTCAGACCATATTCTCCCCTGCAGAAGAAAATAAAATAAAAGTTGAATATTGTCAATTTTATATTTCAATTTTTATAGTCTTAATTAGTAGGACAAAATAGATTATTTTCTTGTAATGCACATCTAAAGCTATATACTTCTTCAGGAATGAATACTTACATTTCTCTTCCATTGCCCGACATTTTGTATCCGCCAAATGGACTCTGAGCATTTAATGCATTGTAGCAGTTTATCCTGTTTAGGAAAAAATTATGGGAAGAGAGGAAAATAAACTATAAGAAGCGTTTATCAAGTAGTACCTGCAAAAGGTAAACATGCATATGATCAAAACCTTAACAAAAGAAAACCCAAGATTACCTAGATTTTTCTACAAAATAGTTTGCCATTCATAAATTGTGTTTTATAGGAGATAGATATACACACACACACACACACACACACACACACACACACTAATATACCTTTTGCAGTTGAGGCACAAGTAAACATTAGTGTTCCCAAGGGTCTCGTTCGGCATGTGTATTTAGAGGTCCCTTAATATTTTTGTAAGTTACATGCTTCAGATGATGGAAGGCAAGAGGAAGTCTTTTCTGATCTACTTACCACACAGTCCCAGCTTGTATTGCAGAAGATACCGTAAGCGCCTTGTTTATGTCATTCGTGAAGACCGCTGCCACAAGGCCATAGTCAGAGTTGTTGGCCCTTTCGATGACTTCTTCTGTAGTTTTAAATCTTAGTATTTGCTGGACAGGTCCAAAAATCTAAAATAAAATTAAGACAAGATTAATTAGCTTTGCAAAGACTGTATCTATTCTTTGGGAGGACTATACTTTTTCACAACATTACCTGAATCCAGTTACATTTAATAAAATTAAACCTGGTAAAATTCACAAATTTAAGACTATGGCTTCAGAAAAATAAAAACCCCACCCAATTTACGAAACATAAAATTTGTAATTGTTGCTGAAGTATAAGTTAGGCTATAAAGAAATTGTTTAAGGAAGTCTAAACAATGTATAAGTGGGAGTAATGTACATAGTTTGCTTAGGGACAGGTGTTTACCTCCTCTTTGGCAATTCGCATTTCATCAGTCACATTTGAGAACACTGTTGGTTCAATGAACAGTCCTTTTCTGCCAAGAGCCTTGCCACCACATTCCAGTTTAGCACCATCGGCAATTCCACTTTGGACAAGTTCCAAGATTTTGTTATATTGTTTCTTATCAGTCTAAAAATAAAAAAAAATAAAAATATATAGAAATAAACCCTGCTTCTGATATAAATCAAATAAAAGATGGTGGGATTTTTGGCATCCCATTTCCACAAGCAGGATTACTTTAACAAAATTAAGATTGGGGAGGAATTCACAATAGAAAGCACAGAATCAGAGGGAGGGAGGCTTTACATACCTGGGGTCCTTGTTCTGTTGTTGGGTCAAATGGGCTGCCGACTACCCTTCTCTTTGCACGTTCGACACTTTTTTGTACAAATTCATCATAAATAGACTCCTCTACAAATGTTCGAGAACCTGCAGTACAGCACTGGCCTTGGTTGAAAAAGACACCTTGATGTGCTTGCTCCACTGCATAATCCACTGTAAAGGAGAGATCAAGAGTAGGGTCACAATGCACCCTTGGTGGGGGAGGGATAGCTATGAATTTTCTATTCCTTATTAGTTAAAGAATGGATATATGTTTAGAAGCAAATTCTCCAGAATGTGAGAGATTCACTATATGAGTCATAAAGCATAAGAGGGAGACCGGCTGCATTTAAACTTACAGTCAGCATCGGCAAAGATTATGTTGGGGCTCTTGCCTCCCAACTCAAGAGTCACCCTCTTCAAGTTACTTTTTCCAGCCGCTTCTTGGATTAGCTTACCAACCTAAAATGAAAAAAAAAAAAAAAGTTTTTTTTTTATATAAAGATACAACTTTTCTTATGTAGGACCAGATCAACATTATATAATGGATATATAAAGATAATGCTTGCACATTTGTGAGTGACAACAGTCCAGTTAAAACAGCCACCATCCCAGAGTAATTAAAAACCTCAGGCAACTCTATACTTTCGTGGGTCCCAGGCAACACATCTTGCATACAAGACAGAAGTGCTGTTCATTATATCTCCAGAATAGTTGCATCTTACTGCACCTTAAGTATGCCAATCTGTTGGCGAGGTTAACCATGGAACAAAGTTTTGTCCATTAGCTAGATGTAGTACCCTGTTAAGATCTACCACTGACAAATGTCTACCAGCTCGGTAACATGTGGTGTAGAGACCATCTACGCATGACACCCGATCAGATTGGTTTGCCTTCAGAAAATGGCAAACGTTTATAGATCAGTTCAAGTGCTTGAATCGCCAACACCTGAACCATCTAAGCAATCTGTAACTTCCTAGTGCCACTAGGAAGCTACCACAGCAACCATTTACTTCCGCACTTCTTGCTTAGTAGTGTGACCTTGAGAAGTCACACAACCATCAACAACTAAATTGAGTGAGAAATGGCTGTATCACATGCATATCCAGACAGACAAGGCAACCAGCAGGTATTTACAAAATGCATTCTTCCCATACACTATTAACCAAATTGTAGTTTACAAGTGTCCATGTGACATGAGATTTACCTTCAGGTGTGGGAAAATCTAAAGAATTAACCCTTAGACCAAGTAAAATAGAAAACCACAAATCCCCCCACCATGACATCCAGTGCAAAGGTTTGAATAATAATAATAATAATAATAATAATAATAATAATAAGGGTCTCATAGTAGGGCTATCAAATACCACTATCATTTAATAACTGTTTCAAATTTCAGAGGACATTGTTGCTGGAGCTGAGGCACTTTATGTGGTACCTGACAGACTGTTAAGAACCCATTTAGTTTTTACATTTTGCATCAAAACTATATAATCCTTGTGACCTGAACATGAAGGGACATTGGTTATTCCTAGCAATATAGGTAAGCTCTCAACTGCATATTGAGAGAGAATTTGGAAATATAAAAGCCATAAGAAAGTTGTTTAGAGTGCACTTTGCAATATCCTGAATTTTAATTTTCATTCTCACATGCAGACCTGGCACATGTTATCCAACATTAACTATTAAAGGTTTTGTCAAGGTCAATTCCAAAAAGCAGCAGAGTTAGAATTGCAGATGCCAAGAGAACAAATTTACAAGCCATTATCAGAAAGCACCCCCTTCCCCCAAGTTTGGAATTTTACAACTGCCAACTAGTTTGTACATAGGGACACAATAATGCACAATCTTTTAGACATTTCATTCCAAACCTTGCAAGATCTAGATAGCTTTCTTATTCAAGAGAAGAGTAGAGGACATTATGAGATCATTAAACAGATTTTTCAGTAAATCAGTAATGCAAAGTAATTCATAGCATTTACAAACCATTACACGGTTTTTAAAAGTGATGTCAGATATTGCAGAGTTACATTAAACGTGCCTAATTGCAAATGTAATGATAGGGAATAAACTAAATTGTAAAGGGGGATTCCTGGTTCCAGATAGAGCAAGAAAACTATCCATTTGTCAGTTTAAATAAATACTGTATTCTGGTCAATTAACTTTGACGTAAGTAAACAAAGAAAGGATTTAAATACTTTGATTATGGACATGCTAGAAGTTTTAAAAGTTAGACTTAATCTTTCAGATTCAAGCCCCATTTGAAACTCTGCATTATGATAGGATCGATATGGAAATTATGAGGGATAAATATGCAGATCTTTAAATAAATAAATAAATAAAATTAAAAAAAAAAAATAGTTTCCCCATGTTTACAAGATAACTACACCCTGTAGCAAAACTTTTCTATAGCTAACGATCAAACATTCTAAACTCAAAACATATCTGAACACCATAACTTCGATTATTTAGATAGTGTAGGTATAAAAGGCTTAATATCCCAATCTTCTAAACTTGTACAAGTGGTGGGTGGGGAGGAAATGGGAAAAAAAAAAAAAAAAAAAAAAAAAAAAACAAAAACCACATACACATACACACACATACACACACACACACATACACACACACACACACACACACACACACCAACCACACATACACATATATATTTTCCCAGGTCCCAGCACTCAATGTTCCCGGTCTTTTCTTTGCTCCGGTGCAAGTAATCTCTGACCAAAATATAGCATCCAAGTAGAGAGCACTCTGGAGTCTTTATTGTGCAGAATACAAAAAATGTCGACATTTCAGTCACAATAGACTTTTCTCAAGACCTCTAAAACAAAGACTCCAGAGTGCTCTCTACTTGGATGCTATAATGGGAAAAACCATAGCTCTTATGAACGGTACCATAACAGTCATTGTATATTTTTGTTAGAACTTCATTTAAAGATCTTGTACAGATTATGCTTGGTTCCTTCTAAACTACATAAAATGTATGAAGCTTATTCGCCTATATGCTGGAGATGCCATAAGGAGACTGGTACAATATTTCATATTTGTTTTACCTGTAAGATACTAAATGATATTAAGATGCATATATCTTCTGATTTTAGACTTATCACAAAGATGTGAGAATTACTCTCTTGAGTTTATTAAAATTTCTCTTTTTTTTTTAAAGTGTAAATATTTACTCATTCTTTATGCTTTGAAGATTACTATAGCTCGTCATTGGAAATCAGCTGATCCTCCACAAATCGAATATCAGTATATGATGGAATGTAACTTTACTACTAAAATCAGGTCAATCTGTTTCATATCAAGATTTATGGAAACTCTGGATAGCATATGGGGGGAGGGGGGATTACTTTATATTAAAGGACCACTATAGGCACCCAGACCACTTCAGCTTAATGAGGTGGTCTGGGTACCAGTTCCTTCTAGGGTTAATACATACATACATACCAGTTTCAGAGAAACTGCTATGTTTATAAATGGGTTAATCCAGCCTCTAGTGGCTGTCTCATTGACAGCCGGTAGAGGCGCTTCCGCGTTTCTCACTGTGAAAATCAGTGAGAAGACGCCAGCGTCCATAGGAAAGCATTGTGAGTGCTTTCCTATGGACTGGCTGAATGCACGCACGTACATTCAGCCGAAGAGGAGGAGGAGAGCTCCCTCCCGGCGCTGGAGAAAGAGGTAAGTTTAATCCCTTTCCCCAGAGCTCGGCAAGAGGGGGTCCCTGAGGGTCGGGGCACCATCAAGGCACTATAGTGGTCCTTTAAGGATGGCAGAGGTTTAAAAGAATTATTTTCATGATTTCCTAATAAAAACAAAAAGATCCCTTGGATATACTGAAACGGTCACACCCTGCTGCTGAGCCACAAGGTATGCCGTCCTTAATTATGTACGTCCACATAGTTTGTTTCGGTTTGAAAGGAATACACTTCCGTAAATGAGACTTCTCTGTACTAGATCTACATGAATTTACTGTGTCGATATGTAATGAAATATTGGATCTATTTGTATTGTTTCTTCTGTTTTTGTTAAATGTTGATAAAATAAAAAATGAATAGCTATAAACTATAAAAGTGATGTTGAGCACTGCAACAGGAAAAGTTGAATATGGAACGGTTTAACTAGATTACTTAGTTATACCAGAAGGCTGTTACTTTTGGGATCATAAAAAGGCTTGCAGTAAGTAGAAGTGTTGCTACCAAGTCTAAGCAAATGGAAGGGAACCTTTAGGACATTTACAATTCCAAAATTCATTAAAGCAGAGGTTCCAGGGTAGCGGCTTCTAGTTTAACCCACCCAACTCGTTTCAGAGTTGCACATAAAGTAGTAAACATTGGCATAGCTATCTGATGCCAGTTGATGGCCTTAATCATTGTCCAATAGCTTACCCTGGAACGGGCTACAAAACAGGTTCCCCCTAAAGAGTTAGAGTATGCACATTACAAGAGAAAAAAAAAACCCACACAAGAAACCGGGTAGCCACATAAGGCTCCCCCCCTCCCCCCCCGTGGACTTTGTTGCCATTCTACTCCTATTAAACATTCACTTTACAATACAGTTAGAGCAGACATAATTACAATAGTCTAGTGAAATGAGCGAGCTATGTCAGTTTTTACACAAAAATACAACAAAAAAATAAAGTCTGCACATACAAGTAGCTGCAGAAATATACATTGAACATTTAATTGGAGTCTAAATAAACACTGCCTAGCACAGCACATATACATACCTCAGTCGACCCAGTGAAAGCTATTTTATCTATGCCAGGGTGAGAAGAGATCGCTGCGCCTGCAGTTGGACCATAGCCTGGCAAAATATTAATGACTCCTGGTGGAAATCCAGCCTAAAGGGAGAGTGAAAATATAGTACTTAAAATGAATGTATCTGTTTTATTATATGTAGTTTGAGGTTTTTTTTTTCTCCTCCTTACCTCTTTAATCAGGACTCCCATATACAGTGCAGTGAGAGGGGTTTGCTCAGCAGGTTTGATTACCACTGTATTCCCACAGCACAGTGCAGGTGCCACCTTCCACGCAAACATCAAGAGGGGGAAGTTCCACTGTAGGATGAAACAGGTTGAAGAATGAGGTCTAATGCACAGAAACACATTATTTTCCAGATTCCTATTAAATGGAGCTAAAATATTCCTGAAATCACAGGACGAGGGAGGGGGAAGAACTAGATTAGTGGGGGTGTTTTTTTTTTTTTTTTTAAACACCATAAGATTGATTCTTGCTAGCTTATACATTTAGTATACAAAGAAATTCTTATTCCCTACGCCTTCATTTTAGCAGGATGTGGGCAGCTTTCAGAATTATTTTGTGCCAATTTAGCAAAAGCAAGCATTAGGCATAGACCCTGGACTGACATCCATTTGCCAAGTACTACTGCTGACTTGGGAAACTTAGATTTGTTAGGCTTTCTAGAACAGAAGAATGAGAATTCAGTTTATTTTGTCTTAGGAAAATGAGGGACCCCACACACCCCTAGCAAGTGCATTAGTCCAGTATAAAGATGCATTGTCAAAACAATTTAAAGCATTAGAGTTAATGAGTTATTAGTGACATCTGGCGTAGGAAAAAAATCTGCAGACAGAACAGCATTCATATCCTACACAGGGTAAAAGGACAAAACTTAAAGGAACACTAGGGTCAGTAACAGACATGTATGCCTAGGTTGTTAAATACACCATCTAACCCCCTAAATATATCAAAACCTTACTTTGATTCCAGTCTACTGCTGCTAGCTCTGCCCCAGATCTGCCTGCTTGGCAGAGCTCAGAAGTGTTGATCTGAGCCAATCACAATGCTTTCACATAGACTTTCAAGAAGGCAGATTAGGGGCAGAGCCAGCACAAGCCAAATACAGCCATGACCAATCAGCATCTCCTTAGAGATGCATTGAATCAATGGATCTGAGAAATATTTTCAGCGTCTCCATGCAAAGGGTGGAGACACTGAATGGCAGTGCTGCTCACTGTGCAACACTGCCCCAGGAAGCACCTCTAGCAGCCATCTGAGGAGTGGCCAGTGAAGTTATCACTAGGCTGTAAAGTAAACACTGCATTTTCTCTGAAAACACTTTACTCCAAAAAGCCTGCAGGGACAGGCTATATCCACCAAAACAAATACAATAAGCTGTAGTTCTGGGGACTAGTGTCCTTTTTAACGTTTCCATTCCCTAATGCTTTAGTGTCCCTGTTTATTTTCAGGTTTCCATGCCTCCCCTTGACAGGGTCACTGCACTCAGTGGCTAGGGTGACTTTAAAAAGGTTCTGTTCTACTATAGCACATATTTCTGGCTTTCATCTTAAATTATGACAGAACAACCAGGAAAAACTATACAGTAATTACAAGCTGAACAGGACAATTCCTATGCTAGTTTATTTTGTAGTGACCAGTATGTTCTTGGTGTGTTTTCAGTTTTGGAAGCCAGACGTTTCTCAAGGAGCATGCCATTATACGCCCAGGATTCTGACGGATTACAATCATTCTCTGCGGCAGTCTGTGATGATACTGCCCATGAACGAGTGACATCACAGTATGATAGACAGAAAGTAACAGTCCTGGCTTCGATACGTAGATGGCATTGAGACATTGCTTAAAGCTGTGTTTCCAAGAATTTGTGGGGATAGACCCATAGCCAACAATTTCAATAAAAATAAAATTCCAGTACCTACAGTGTTCCTTTAAGTTGTACTGGTTTCATAAGTGTAATTTCTTAATGTAGTGGTGCTGGGGCATATTGTCTGTCCCTGGTGGTAGATCCTTGCAAATTGCTTTGTCACAGACTGACCAGCACTAAAAGGATTTCCTGGATAAGGTCATGCAATGGTCGCAGAACATACGTTCAGTGTCTCTCGTGACGTGCATAAAGAGGCTGAATGTTCCCCATAGAAATGCATTTCTATGAGGAGATGCAGATTGGCGAAGCACGGTTATTGCCAAGTACCCTTTCAAAGCGTCCCTACGTGGAAACATCGGAACAGGTCATCAAGATGATTATATCAGCCAAGGGGTTGGACACAGCACACTGGGCTGAAAGTTAAGTAAACTACCTTTTTTAGTCTGTGTGAGGGAGGCACAGACAAGTGCGTGAGTAGAAGACTCTAGTGTATGAAATGCAAACCTTTATTCCTCGTGTTATAGTGTTCCAAAAAAATAAAAAATAAAAAGTGTACACTCCATACACTGGAGAGACGTTTAGTAGATATACGCCAAATAAAGATATGCATGCATTTTCTTATTTGTGTAGATATAAATTGGACTTTGGAGAGGGGGCATGTATTGAACACTTCCAGCTGTCTTTAAGTAGTAGGAAGTTAGATACTTACTGGAATGATCTGTCCACACACTCCAATGGGCTCGTGTCTTGTAAAAGTAAAATAATCACCATCTGAAAAAGAAAAAATTATAAACTTGAATTTTAGTGGAAGAATTCTACGTGGTAAGTTGTACCAGAGAGGGCGCAATCTGCACTGAGAGCTTTATTCCTTTGGATATTTACAATTGCTAATTTTCATTCCCCACTTCTCATCTTCCAAATGATTAACAGGGAGTTAACAAGCAGAGTTATTCTAACAGTTTCCCCATCACCATCCAACTTTGGAAAATTCAGTCACTGTGGATCTTCCAAGTATGTTTTGGTTGGTCTTCAGCCTATGGAGACCACCTACAGAATGAAGGCTGCTCAATACATTATTTTCCAGAACCTTGTGTCTAGTATTTGTGGTATAGGAGAGTAAATTGTGGAAGAGTACTAAAGCACAAATCCATGCACTCCCTGAATTAATAGATGGAAGATAAATATTATCCGTGGACTAGAATGCCTCAAACAGAGTTCTTGAAGTCAAATGCAGTTAAAATAAAAAAGTATTCTCTCTCCATCCAATCTTAGAAGGGAAATAAGACCCATGGATCAAAATTATTCCACGTTTATACTAGAAGGGAAGGGGTTCTTCATTTAGGATTAGAATGTGTAGTTTTATACATTTGTGTAAGCGATATTTATCTTGATAAAGTGTTTGAGGTGACTTGCCCTTCACTCAGTTACTGCTTTAAGAAAATTATGAAGCATTAATTCTTGGTCACCCAGTTTCTTACTTCAAGTCATAGACACAGAGTATGACATTAACCCACCAATGTTATATTTCATGTGATTTATAGTTTAAATACATAGACAAATAGAAGAACTGTCCCACTTTCATGGTGGCATCACTAAAACAGATTAGGCCTCAGCCTACAGGAGCACCACTTCTGGAAAGCATGACCACTTGGAACCAGAGGTTACAGTCTCGCATTGCAGAGTTCCATTGGAAACACAGCATAATCAGCAAGCAGGCTGTGGGTGTACAGCTTCAATGGCTTTATTTTGGACGCAACTTTCTCAATATCTACAATGGGATATTCTATGCAGAGAGGCAAAGGGTGGAAAGCAGGTAAATATATACTCATGTTTACACACAAGGGAGAAAAGTCTTATACCATCAGCAGGTCCTGCTGGTTAATTACACATACCGGCTGGGATAGTCATTCCATGTATCTTGTCTGCATAGCCAGCATAATAGCGAAACGTTTTGATAACACCTTGAAGATCCACATAAAAAGACTGTAAAAATGGCTTCCCACTATTTAGAGATTCAAGGGTCTGGAACATAAAGCATAGACGACATTCAAAGACTAGTCAGTTTGAGATTACAAATGGATTTTTTTCCCCACAGTAAATTGTTCCAAGCAGGAGGCTGGAAATAACCAAGAGTCTCCACTTACAGCAAGAACAGCTCTATCCCTTTCCACTAGATCAGCCAATTTGTCCAAGAGTCGCCCACGTTCTGATGCGTCCATTCTCCTCCAGACTGAGCCCAAAGAGAAAGCCAAGCGGGCAGCCCTCACTGCTTTGTCTACATCAGCCTGTTGATGGGAACACTTTTTTTTAAAAAGCCTCATTTTATAAGGAATTCAGTTTTCGTGTTGGTTGACTTTAGCCTTAAGTTCAAACCAGGAACTAATATAGTACACAATGTATTCTAGGAAAAACTGCATTTGTCTTAAATGAAGCTCGCTTCACCATGCTGTCAGTTGCTGCTGCAATGTAAAATAGATGGCATGCACATAAAAACCCCAATCATTACCTTTTCAGCTTCTTGAACTTCACAAATGTGCTCTCCTGTTGCTGGATTGTACACTGGAAAGACCTTTCCACTCTCTGAATTTTGCCATTCGTTGTTGATGAAAATCTAGGAGGAATGAATATTGGAAGACATACATAAGATACTTGGCCACTAGGGAGGGAGGTTACAAGCGTTGCATTTTATTTCTTATATTGGGGTTGGAATTTATTTTTAAAGACAGTCTGGCAGATAAGCAGTTTTAGTTTATTGCAGAATTGGTTTGGTATTAAGAAATCAAGTTACAGAATCAAATGCATCGAATGCCACTCTGCAGTTGATCCAGAATAAGCCAGATGCACAATTTATACTTCGCAGTACACTACAGAGTGCCATATGCATTATATTAGCCATACAGAAGAGGTGTTACATATGTTAACGGAGAGAGAGACTAAAGTAGGAAGGTTACTTTGTCAGCTTGATTAGATAAAAAAAAAAAAAAATGAAAAAATTATATATATTTTATAGTCCTAGAAGAGCCTTTTAAGTGAAAAAGTGGTCCATATCTATGCTCCGTTTACCCCCCAGCAAGACGGATTCTACTTTCAATCTTACAGTACACCTTTAGCCTACAGCTGTTGAAAGACAGAAAATGGAGCACTGCAGACCAGTGTATGGACCCGGGGGAGTGAGGAGTGAGTGACATAGGGTAGATCAAGCAGCAGTCACCATTCTCTGTAGAGTCTATGTGAGGAGACAACGTAAAAAGGTTTTATTGCACAAGTCAGAAAGGTTTGAAATTCTAGTTACAACTCTATTGAGATCAGAATTTTAAATATATAGTTTCATGAAATTACAAGAAGGTCAGCTCTTCTCATGGACGCCATAAGAGAAGTAGCAACTGCTGCCCCTTCCTAGCTTTAATTTAAAGACCATAAGATATTAGTTATCCACCCATTAACGGACGTTGATCACATTTAAATTGGCTGTAAAACCCCTATTTACTACAGCATGTGTGTGTAAAATTCCTCATCGAATGGTCTGGAATAGTTTCAAGTCTTGAAATCCACCAGCTGCCAGGTTTACAAGCAAAACCTTACACTTAAGACTTGAACTTTTTTTAGTGTTCTGTATCAGGTAGTACCATGCCACAGACATTCACTCCATACCACCAAGCCCAGATTCTTTAGCAATAAATTTACATTCACTAGGGGCTTTTTAGAACAGACTAAAATAAAATAAAAAAAAATACAAATCTATACAGACTGATGGTTGTTGATTATATGCATTGTACATTTAATCTGACTCTCATTACGGTCACTTCATAAAAATGCCAAGCAGTGGACAAGTGATGACACATTGCAAAAAAAAAAAAAAAAAAAAAACCCACAAGGAATCCCTGCAAAGCTTAAATTAGTTTTCTACCTCCTTTCCTCTACTTTCTAATTTATAGTGACTGTTCCAAGGGCAGTCTGTAAATCAGAGAAACTATGTGACACGAAATGATCCTATCTGGAGAGTGTATATAATGAACGCTGACGGTTACATGACAAAGAGGAGACCCCTTAGAAAAGCAGGTCTAGTTTCAATGTAAATTATATAACAGCACCCAGAGAGCACATTGTTCACATTCAATAGTCAACGCCATCTACAATAGTAATGGCTCTAGATTCAGTGTTAATTAAAGCAGACTTTAGACCATAAATCAGCAACAGCGTTTGCCATTTAATTCACCATCAAGTGTACATATTTCACAGAGAAATAAAATAAACCTTAGTGTGCATTAATTGCACACGTGTGTACAGAAAGGGGTATTTAAAGGGAAGCCCTATTGAAATCTCAATTAAATTTAGATTTTACTATGTTGTGATCTACATGTTGCTTCCACAGCTGCATTAATTGCAAGTGTAAAAAAAAAAAAAAAAAAAAAAAAAAAAAAAAAATAATATAAAACTTTTAACACTAGATTTCAGTGAGATGGATTTAAGAATTTGTGTATGGGCAGGAAGCAGATTTTAACATCCAAGCAACCATTGCTCCCCATTGAAATAGAAAAAAATAAAATAAAAAAAAATAAAAAAATAAAAATGTTGCAAAAAACCAAACAATGTGTATGAACATGAAAACGAGGGTAAGTTCCTCAACTTCTGCCATTTACCAGTTAACTATAGTCCCCAATCCTTCAAAATGATGCCACCAGCTTCTGTCATTGCAAGTATTAGACTTGTGAAGAAGAGAGAACAGTGGGGAGAGGGACCCACACAGATTCCTTGATGATGAAGGAGCTCACATTTTGAGTAGTTTGGTTCATGGATAGACTACATATTTGAAAGTAAAAGACCAGAGGGTCTGAAATACAGTCAAGCCAATTAGATGCAAAGAAGTGTAGTTACCCCACATTTTAAAATAGCGGACCCCTTCATGAGACTTTGCTGGACTAGAGGCCAATTCACGTACATTTTTTTTTTTTTTTTTAAAGTCAATATTTCAAGAAGTTCACTACATAGGGGAAAAAAAAAAATTATATAATTTTTTTAAATATATTTAATTTAAAATTCTTTGTCTCATACCATGTGAACATACAGAATATTCAAGAAAACAACATTGCACAAAGTAATACAGAGCATCAATGTCATTGTGGGGTTTACATAGAGTGATATGTAGTAGGGTGTGCTGCCTACTGGTGCGGCCTGTGTATAATGCGGTAGTAGCGTTTTATTTTTGAAAGGGTAAGAATTTAAAGTATGGAGACATAAAAACTATTTTATCCCAAAGGGCCATGAGAAAACTAAATATTAGGGGCTCTATGAAGAGCAAACTGCCCTGTGGCACACAGATGTTTGTATCTTGCTAGCTTTTTTTTTTTTTTTTAGCCAAAGGTCCTGATGAAATATTAGCTTTATATGAATTGCATAACATCGCAATTTCCCCAATGATCATGCTTTATCACCTTAACTGTGCAGGTGTTAACTGCGGATATTCAATTACAGCTCAGAGACCGAACAGGTAGGTCAGTCTGATGATTTCATTTCTTGCTGCAACATTGGTTTATTTCAGAGCATAACAAAGTCTTACAATGAATGGACATAGTTCTGCATTCAGAATTGGAGTACTTCTGTTAGTCGGTAACTGTCACAACTAGTAACCTGTGTAACCTCCCCCCAACCCCATCAAATGATATTAATAGCACCTTATTTTACTATTCATTACATCTCGATAAACTTTTTTGCTTAGCGAGTGGTTTAAGTTTGTGTGCGTTTAGTTATGGATGAATACATTTGTTTTCTTAAGGGAGACCATTCACTTACATTTCTAGAAATGTGGTGGTCTTGCAGCAACCTTTAGGTCATACTGCACAAAACAAAGAGGCCCATTAGTCATCTTTTGAGATAACCTATCTGGGTAGTCATTTTAGATATACTGGATATTTAATGCCAATTATTGATTAGTTAGGAGACCAACACCACAACTTCTAGACCCAATCAGATAAAGGACATTATAAAAATATTGGTGGTATGGGGATTAGGAAGTTCATTAAATACCGACAACTAGTTTTGTAGTGAAATATGCTGGAAAGTAACTGAATATAGACATAACTTGTCACCTTATCCCAAGCTCTGTGACAGTCAATTTGGGTTTTCAGTCCCACAAGGATGCAGACAAGTCGAATCTGCAATGTCATTCCTAATCAGTCCCACAAGTAGACATTTGCACTCGCACACGCTTTGTGATAGCCAATCCATAATCTAGGCATCCTTTGGCACTCCACATATCGTGGAACAAGTCTACCATAGTGCTCACAAGACATCAGGGGAGTCAAACCCACAAGATCGGAAGTGCTGAAGGCTGCCTACCCATGCGATATGGCATACCTACAGCACCCATTAAGTAACCCTCATGGCACATCAATAGTTCAAAAATCGGAACTCTTCACGATTTAAATCCAGTGAAGAGGTTTGCGCCATTAGGTTTATCTAAAGGCTACCTTGACAATACAATTAAAAGCTACCCTCCACAGTCACTTCTGAATGCAGAGGAGGACAACTGCAATGCCAAGGTTAGAGAAAAAAAAAAAATAAAATAAACACCCCAACCACACCACACAGTGTGGATAAATTGGAATATGCATTACAGTAGGTGCACACATCAAGACATGCCATGGAAAGCCTCCATATGGTCATCACATCATCTATTAGAACAAAAATTTGACTCAAAACCATTGGCGGATCCAGGGGGGGGGCAACGGGGCAATTGACCCCCCCCCCCCCGAGATTCCCCCCTGCCAGCTAATGCAGGGCTGGCATTGCCCAAGTGCTAGCCCTGCAATGTGCCTGCGGACCGGGGAGGAAGATCAGAGATCTCCCTCCCCGGTCCGCAGGCACTGTGCTGACAGCCGGCGGCGGAGGGAGGGAGTGAGAGGGAGGACCCGGCGCTCAGTCTGCAGCTCCTCCGGGTCCTCCTCGCTCGAGATTTGGAGCGTTGCCGCGGTTACCACGGCAACGCTCCAAATCTCGCGAGAGTGAACTCTAGCCCGGGAGCGTGGGCTAGAGTTCACTCTAACCACCTGACCACCAATGAATCACCACTGGGACCACCAGGGAAATGTCCCCCCTCCTAAATAAAGGTAAGAAGGGAGGGGGGACATAGAATATTTATTTTATTTAAAAAAAAAATAATGATTTATTATTAAAAAGCCTCCTGCCCCCCCCCCATACACACACTGCCCCCCATACACACACACTGCCCCACAAACACTGTCCCCATACACACACTGCCCCCCATACACACACACTGCCCCACAAACACTGTCCCCATACACACACTGTCCCCCATACATACAGTGCCCCCTAACACACACACTACAACCCTGACATACACTGCCGCACTCACACACTTCACCCTTAACACACACCACTGCTCCTATACCCTATATCCCAGCAGACCCCAGGTAAGTTGTCAAACTGTTCTTAAACGGTATGACTACTTACTCTGGGGTGGAATCCTGGCACTACTGACACCATAACTACTACACTGAGCTGTAGTGGTTATTGTGCCTGGATTATTTATTTAAATAATCTACAAGTGCCCCTCCCGAGATCAGGCTCTGGATCCACCACTGCTCAAAACTAGAGACTTTTAAGAGACTTGGTAAGCAGGCCTCCCAACTGTCCTCGTTTAGCAATTAACAATCCCTAATTGGGAACCCATTATCCCTTCTCTACGAACTCCATATTGTCAGTGTCTGAGTGTATACCAGAGCTCTAAAGCAAGAAGACTCAGAGTACTGTGGTTTTAAACAATAAATGTTTTGAAGGTAGTCTGCAAATAAGGTGCATTGGTTCTATGCAGTTATATTCATGCTGCATATAATTATATTAAAAAAAAAAAAAATCTCACAACAGCCCCATCTCACACCCCTAAAATTGAACAGTCGCTTAAACATTTGAAGTGTTGGAGGTATGTACAAGTCATAAGCAGAACTGTTCCTCTCTTGGTGTACATTTTAAGTATTCGACTACATGATACTGCAGAGTTTACCTCCATAACCAGGAGGTAACAGGACCGGTCGCCTGATTGACAGCCACGAAAGGGGGTGTGGGGTATAACAAAGGTTTCTTTATAAAAAGCAAAATTTCTATTAAAAACTGCTCCATAGAAATAAGGGAAGGGCAGGGAAGAGAAATTAAAAAATTTTACATTACGGGGTTAAATCTCCACATTTCTGCTGTCAATTAGACCCCCTTTCACACTGTTAATTCCTTAGAACCAGTCAATTTGTCGTGCCTTTAAACACACACACACACTGCTTGTATGCCACCCTCTCTCAAGTTGCGCATGTAGGGAGCAAACAAGTCACAAAAACCCAAGAATACAGTCTTCTGAAGTTAAGGTTTCAAACTTCAGATCATTTTTGCTTTAGAATGAAGACAAGACTTCATAGAAGGTTTACAATTTACACATTGTTTTATATTTGTGGCCAAAAACTAAATTACAGAAAACACATTGTCTTTTTATATTTGGACAAGTAGATGCCCTAGTTAGGTTTATGACTACTAAAGCACAGCTTTCTATTACTTTAGGGGTCAGCGTGTAAGAGGGGGGGGACCTAGAATATATTAAAAAAAAAAAAAAAAAAACCATACATATCTATCTCTCGTTGGTTTAAAATATTGATCCATTTATATGACTATCCCCATGGTTTCCAAGAACCAAATCTCACATGTTCACATCGCTTCGGACACCCTGTGGTCACAAATCACAGAATTTATGCTCATTGCTGAACTCAATATAATTAGTGAAGACCTAGAATGACTATTGTTGCTTTAATAAGGGGACATTTGTCACCCATGTGGTAGAAACACTGAGCCACAGGGAGACGTGCAAACTGCAATATTAAATGACAGGCACCCCTTACAGACCCCTGACCCAAGAGTGCACCAGAATTTATTCATGCAACCCTGAGCTACACATTACTGAGAGGATAGCTATTCAAGCATTAGTCAATGAGTCGGTTACCTAGGAACCTAAATAGTGCCCGGCACCCTTGGTGAACAGTCATCCCCCAAAAAATAACGTTTTTCACATGTATAAAGACAAAAAATAAATATTGACTTAAATACAATAAGTACACACATTCATTTTTTTCTCATCATGCTAGTAGAAAATTTACCATGGGAGCGATTAAATAGGTCTCCCCTGGGCCTTACTTTTAGCACCAATATGGTGAAAGTTAAATCCTTCAGTCAGGACTGGCACGGATCAGGTTAAAAATAGAATTCGATGGCTAACCCCCTTTTTACTTTGCATATATTCTGCATGAATTGCAAAGATCAATGCAGAAAATGCCACTATAAGTGAACACTGTTACAGTGCGCTTGGACATTGTGAAAATGTACAGTGAGATTCACCGCATATAGCACTATATAGTAAATAGACTAAGCTTGTTTGAGCAGGGTCCTCTTCAACCTATCATTCCTGTAATTGTCCTATTTATAGTTACATCCCCCCTCTCATAATATTGTAAAGTGCTACGGAATCTGTTGGCGCTATATAAGTGGCAATTATAATGTAATGCAATATTTAGTTTGTGCATTACGCTAGGGGTGGGTGAATAATACTACTGGAAATTTAATATGTGCCAAGGAAATAAAGTGCACTTACAAAGATAGAAGTTAATAAGAACACACACACCACAAACCCATACCAGTAAAACAGGGGTTCCCAGCCCTCGTGTACCCCCTACCACATCAGGATTTAGAGATTACCCTGTCGTGGCTAATGGTTCCTTCCCCAATTCTAAAAACACCTTAGACAACAGGGTAATCCTGATGCTCTTTGGTCCAGAATTAACCCTTTTCATATATAAAAAAGAAGCCATTTTAATCAGCATTGAGATATATCCAAATGTGTTTTTAGCTAACTTGATTTAAGTTAAATTGAATTGGAAAAAAAATGTCCAGTCATGCAACATTAACTAGTTGACAGTTTTTAATTCACTACAATGAGTTGTATTTCTTAGGAAATGACACTTTTTTTATTCCTACACCCATTATTGTAGGCCAAAACTTGTGACCAATTGAAAAGTTTGTAGGTGCAGGCAATTTCAAAGAAATACATTTTCTTTAATATAAAGACATCCCTAATCACCACAGAACTTTATTAAAAGCTGACCTGCAAAAACAGTAGAGTTGAAAAAAAAAAAAAAAAAAAAAAAGTTTTCATATTAAAAATAAGCTTTATCAATTGCCCTCTTTTTAGTAAATAAACTCTATAGTTAGGGAAGAGGGAATCACACTTTTCTATTGAAAGGGTACATTTATCCTTTCAGCGCCTCTGCAATGCAACTGAGATATTTTAGATACCCAAGTAATAAGCATTATTTCTTATCCTAAAGTTTTGAAAATCAAAGTTAAAAAAAAAAAAACCTACACAGCATCTTGCACCCCACATAGCACCTTTTGCAAGGAAAAAAAAAAAAAAAAAAGGGGGACAGTTCACCTGGGAGTTTATTGGGGAGAAAAAAATAAATAAATAAATAAAATAAAATAAATAATGTCTTAACCCCACTAATATGTTATCAGTTACACTTAAGGGTTTCAATTTCCCACCAAGGCAAGTTGATATTTTTATTAAGCCAAATAGTTACCCATATATTCATCAGTATCAGTCATGTCAGATTATTTTGACCTTACCAAGTTAAAAAAAAAATAAAAAAAAACAAAACACTAAAGAAGTGTTTTAGATAAGAGGAATAAAATATCCCTATGTATATATTTACTTTGTGTAAAAGATTGTTAGAAAATGAAACAAGACCTTTGATCTGCATCAGGATAAGATAAAACAAATACAAGTCAGGGCATAGGAAAATTAAAGTGTTTCAGGTGACAGACTGACTTCCTGCTGGATTTAACTATTTAAGTGCTAGGTGTGAGATGAAATGTATTTTACATGATCTCAGATTGGAGAATCTCTAGCAAAAATAAGTATAATAAGTTTGGAAAAAATTAATAGTTGCCATTTAGTGAACAAACCTAGGGAGTTTATTAACTGAACTACCTCTAGACTGTAAGCTCATTTGGGCAGGATCCTCTGCAGCCTATTGTTCCTGTAAGTTTTTGTAATTGTCTACTTTATTGTTAAATATTCCCCTCTGATAATATTGTACAGCGCTACGGAATTTGTTGGCGCCATAAACATACTAATAAAAAGTTGCACCAAGCTGAAACCAGAAAGGAAAAGTATAGTCTATTTTGAGGAATTCATCTAAAACTAGCTTGGCTATTTTAAGTCAAATTCTGCCATTTGTAGTGTATTGAATAAGGCTATTCAGGTTTTTAATATAACGATCTTATAATATCTAATATAACGACGTTAATACATTGAAGTCAAAAAACAAATCTCAGGGCGATGTTAAGCCTAACTCCCTACTCCATGGATTAAAGCATAGCAAAACTGTTTTTTTTTTTAAACCATAAAAATAAATAAAACATTTGTAGTGGTCCTCGGATTGTTAAATACATGTGTATACATAAAGTTAGGGAAAACATAACAGTCACAGACACAGCTCTGCAACCCGGAAACCACAATAAAAACATTGCACAGAGTATTTGTACACACTAAGCCCATTAATAAAACAAAGGGCTCATTAGGATTTGCGGTGTATATAGATGGAGAAACAGATTAACTCATTAAGTGCCGAAGGGAGGATCGCCTCACATTTATCTGTCACAAAATACAGAAAAAAAAAAAATAAAAAATAAAAAAAAGTTCCCAGTGTTTAATATTTCGAACTGAAAGACCGATAACAAGTAGTGTAGATTACAAGGATAGGATTCGATCACGGAGGGCACGGACCAGGAAAATTAGATACTTATAGGAAGTGCTTAGCACATACATTTACAGGCGCAAAAAAAAAAAAATATATATATATATATATATATATATATATATATATATATATATACACACACACACACATACATACATATACACACACTGGTTATGAATAGTGTGTGGATATGGAGGGAAAATGACCACAGTTAGGTCTTTTACATTTAACGGTTCAAGGTATTGAAAAGCCGTTTAAAAAAGTAGAAAGAAAAAAAAGCTAGAGTTATGATTATCTAGGATTTCCATCGCTCCTAAATAACAGGATAAATCCCAAACAGAACCCAAGCAGGGAGCCTGGGAACTCAGAACACAACACATGTGGACTATGCTGGTAGGTTACCAGTCTACAGTAAGTGGCCCTAGCCTGGAAAGTTTGGATGACTACAACCCTGTTAAATCAGTCCATTGAGAGAAATGGGAGCTGTAGAAACCCAGGTTATTACGAACACAAGGACTGCGAGGATTTAACAACACTTACCTTGGTGTGCTTCACTTCCAGGTTGGAGGTAGGTAGAGGCAGAAGATGTAAAGATGCCATTAGGGCTGCAGGATCAGTCTTCACCTCTCCAGGCATTTCAATCTTACTGGAAGTCATAGCTGGCTGATGTAAAGAGATCTCTTGATTTTTGCCTCACTCCTTTCCCCTGTTCCTCTATTTTTCCCCCACCCCTTGATTCCACTGACTTAATATTTGTTTGCGGTGGGAAAAGATGAGTGTGCAAGAGTTTCCTCTGCTCCGCAGTAATATAGGCAGGTGTCAGTCTCAGCCTGTTCTTATTGGATATTGGGGGTAGGGCCTGGGTGGGGGCTTAGTCCATCCTATGATGATATAATTACAATCTTCTATTTACATAAAGCACTCAGCATTCGAACGTTCGGCAGTGAATGGATACATTCCTGTTCTTTAACCCGTTAGGTGCTGCTCTTATCTGCAAAGGGCCAGAGCGGCTCTGCCCGCCCATATTCAAACCTGGGAAGTTTGGAGAGCCCTTGTGAAGGATTTCCATTGAGTAATTAAAGGTGAATTAGAGCTGAAGTGTTGTGTTCAATTAGGGGGAAACCAAAAGGGTTTTTAAAACAATCAGAAGGAAGTGTCAGAATCCATGTGCTCATTAAGCAGACTATAGCTAATTATATGTACTCTCTTATCAGGGGCTCATTCCACAACTAACACAATACATGAATTCACACACAGGATTCAATTCGTTCTCTTAGTGTTTTACACCCACTTGGAGAAGGTTGGGTTTTTTTAGGGGGGGAGGGGGGTTTGGAGCCCGTGTCCTGTTATCTGGGATAGAATTAAGCACGTTTACTTTTTAAATCCCACATGACAGGGGTATAGAAAGAAGGCTCTGCTTAGCTATGTCTGGAGCAAGGTATGATATTTAGAGATTGGAAAAAGGGACCGATATAGTTCAAAGACAGGCAATCATTGGGGTTCTGATTACTACACAAATGGATGAGCGTGATGGGCTTTGCAATCCGTATCACACACAAAGAGAGAGGATATTTTTGTTATTCTCCAAATGTCTTGTATTGTAATCTAATAATCGTTAATGATTTACTTTTTCTGTTTCTACAATTATTTTTAAATTATTGACATGGATAGTTGATAATTGATCCTTTAATTTACAGCTTTATTTTCTGATGGGACGCCCGTATCATTAACTATCTACCAAGTGTGTTTTATGTATGTAAGAACTCACTAGTGCTTCACCGTGAATATCTTAAATTGCTTTGAGATAATGGCACAAGTGGGATATTATTCAGACTAATACAATATATGGTTGTTTCTTAGAAATCAAGCGGAACTATGTTGCAACACCTAACACACTTATCCAGCCTGTATGCGGTAGGAGCAACACCTAACACACTTATCCAGCCTGTATGCGGTGGGAGTTATAGTCTAAACAAAGTGAAGCGTCAAAGGCTTCACCCTCAGTTCCAGCAATGAACATGATTTAGTACTTTGCATTAAACATCCGCATCTGGGCTTGTGTGGGAGACTTGGATACAAGGAATGTGATCCATATAGCTCATTACAGCTGATATTTCAATAAAACAAGCATCAGGGCTGTTCCAACTTTTTAGCTCTTTCACAGCCCTGGATTCTCTGTTTGTACCACTTGTGGTTTTTTAGATACTGAAACAGACCAATCTAACGGTTCATGTTCATTATGTTCCCTTAGAAATATTTGTGTCAAAAAGGGGATGCATTGCTATTGTGAGTTACAAAGTGTGTATAATTTATTTATTTCGTAATGTAAAACCTGCAGACAGTGGATTCTGAGAGTCATGCCCATAATCTTACAATCTAAGGTGCCTTATATTCATCAATCAAGAGTTTGTAAATATAGAGATGGGAGCTAGTGAGTGACAATATTGGCAGCTCTCCTGTTATTCTTAGAACCTTAGAACCCTTTGTATGTCACCTCTTTCTAGGGCTGCTTATAGAAGATGTACACTGCATTGCAATTACTGTTACAGTGCAATATGCACATGTTGTAAGCATTCGCAATTACAGGAGCTGTGTATATATAATATATGGTATCGTACCCTGATATGTGCCAATTTCCCATATATTTAGGGATTTATTCACAAACAACAAATTCAAAGGCAAAACTAGTCGAGTTAAGATTAGTTGATGTTTAGAGTTTTCTAAATCAGCTAGTTTTGTCTACATTTTTCAACTCCGTGTTTTGTGAATAAACCTCATTATTAAATGCATCTGTATATGGTATAGTTTGTTGTAAATGCATGAATTTGCAGTTCTGCAAAACGTTAAAAAAATATAAAGAATAAAATTCAAAGTATGCTATATCTAAGGTAAGTATTGGTGTTCTGACACAGGTTTTCTAAGGTAAGTACAGCCTGGCACAGTTTGTCTGGTTTATTTAGTATCTGATTATATTAGTTTTCTCTCCAAAGATAAGATACATTTTTGCTGGCTTGAATGTTGCAATTCAGTTTTTAATTCAACACCGTTTATTGACTAGTTAGTAAATACAATTATATTTCACTAAACCATGAACTGTAATGGATTGAATTGCATATTAAGAGATAATCTGAAATTTTTTTCCAAAGCAGCTAAAAAAAAAAAAAATATAAAAATATGTCTCCACCTCTGTTATTATCCCTTGGCTGTTTAAGGTTGAGTTTTAAAACCCTTTTGGGGACCATAAGATAACCTTCATCAATATAGAAATAATTATGTATTTTTTTTCCCTTTAAGAATGTATTTGAACAATAAATAAAACCATTTCCACACTTGTCATTTTTGGGGGAGGAATTATGACACGAGACAAATGTGTCCCTATGGTCCTCAAGGGAGACAAGGTTGCAAACATTGTCTGTTTCTGGAACTTTAAATTTATTTTACAATGAATTCTAAAGAAGGTCATAATAAATTGAGTCAAATTTTGCTACATCTGACTATTTAGGTCACTTTTTGTGGAACACCAAAAGAAGACATTTTTTTTGTTTTCTTTTTAAGTTCATACACTTCAGTTGCTGTAACCAAGCCATTTCATGTAATAACTGGCAAAAAGCTAGATCCATTTGTTGATAAGAACTAATATTTTGACTTTCAAACCAAAAAAAATAAGTATTTTAAGTTCTTAATCAGATGATACAGGCAATTAAAAACATGGGACAAATACATCCCTTGGTCCTCAAAGGATTAAAATTAAATTTTTAGTCCACCACACTTTGCTTTTAGTGAATAAACGCTTTCAATTTTCAAGTCCCCAAAATCTGTTTATTGAACAGAATTTCCCATTTGGATTCCTTTATTCCATGTACTAGAGACAAATAGGTTATTCAAGTGAATAAAGATTAGTTATGTTTCGATTTGTGCATGTTGAGAAAATTCAGCTTGGCTCAACAATTTTTCCAGAAAACAGAGCATTTTTCAGGATGCCCATATTTCGGCCGAAAACCTGAATCAGAAATCGATGTTTTGCAAAATATACATACATAATATACATCCTTTCCCCTCTATTGCTCACTTCTCACTATGACTAAAATCAACATTTACTGTCTGTACTCTAGCCATAAATCGTCTTTTATTTTTTTTTTCCCATTAATCCAGAATCACTGACAGGTTGTGATTATTAATATTTTACTATTTATATAGCGCCAACAAATTCCACAACGCTTTACAGTGGGTGGACGAACAAACATGTAGTTGTAACCAGACAAGTTGGACACACAGGAACAGAAGGGTTGAGGGCCCTGCTCAATGAGCTTACATGCTAGAGGGAGTGGGGTGAAGTGACACGAAAGGTAAGGATAGTAATACTGCGCTGCGGAATTTGTTGGCACTATATAAATAATAACATAATAATAATCACGACCTGAAATGAACATGCTTGGCTACTGCATGTTTCAGTTGGTTCGTGATTCATGTATATTTCAGCTCGGAGATCAGGAATTTGACTGATCATCTGATCATCTCATATTCGGGTAAATTGCAATTTGTACCAAAACGAACTGCAATTTTCAGACCTCCGAGTCTAGTTATTTTGCCTTAAGATTACAATTTGTAACCATTTAAATTAATTTAGTGTTTAGTCACTAAACATGAGTGATTTTCAAGATTTTATCCAAATTATAAAAAAAAACAAGAAATACAATTCAGCTTTCACTCCAGCTATTTTTGGCCTAAAATTAGATTTCACGAGAATTTATGCTTTTGTGAAAAACCCAGTGAGGGCTTTATTCACTGAAAATTTGAAAGTCGTGAGCTGATCTGTTTATAAAATATAGGCAAGAAAGGCAGATGGACAAATCTAGTCTGTAAAGCGCTACGGAATTTGTTGACGCTATATAATAATCTTCAGTCTAAGTTGGAGTTGCTTTTCATGTCATCATGCTTGACCTACGTTTTCTACATTAGTTGTTCACCCATGACTTCCTATTGCATAATGAAGAACTCCCCAAAGATATTTTATATTTGGCTGTTTTTTTATTTTTTTTTATTAACTCATGATTTAGTTCGTACATAAAATCTGGGGAACTAGTTGCCAAATTTAATGTAACATGCAGTTTCAGCATTGCATCTTCTCATTACTTCTAACATGGGCCTCGATTTAATAAACTTCCCAAATGATTTATTTAATCAAGTAAATCCTTTTAATGGTGAGTTTTGTGGATAAACCATTCTGGAAAGTTTTTCTAACAGTATTGAATCTATTGGAAAGCTTATCAAAACGAGACCATAATCCGGTAACAGGAAGGAACACGATTCCAAATGTTGCCAACTCTTCTCTCTTTTAGTCATTTGTTACCCTCCTTAAACAAACTTATGGGACAATCCAGTTTCGGCCAATTTATTTCATTTTGGCTTCCTTGTCCAACACTCAGTTTTTGCAGATAAAGGTTGCTCTCTCTTTTGTCAATGCTTTTTACCTACAATCACAGCAATGAGTTTAGAGAATCTACCAAAATTTCAATGTGACCAATTAATCGCCCAAGGTAGCCGCTCTAAAATTCACCAACCGCCCATCAGTAGGTTTTGGACTGCCTAAGCAGGCGTGCATTGGCAGTTACACTGAACAGTGACAGCCACCATATAGTTGGCATTACTAGGATGGCAGTGCCCTGAACACAAGTCACACAGCACAATGATCAACTCGGACTGCCAGATTGCCAGATCATTTGTGTGAAACCTCAATTCTGCACTCTGTCAAGCAGGACTGGGAAGTGCTGACTGGTAGAGGGTGGAATTAATGCATTTTAGGTGAAAATTCTAATAATTCTTGCAGTTCCCATGGAAAAACATGATTAGTACATTCCCATAGGGGATGGTAAACTTCAAATACTACTAGGTATCATTTTCAAGCCCTGCCTCCCTCCCAGAAAAAGTGCAGAATTGACCAGAACCCAGCTTAAATATTATGAAATGACATTGCAAACCGTACATAAAAGGCTAGCTAAAAGCCCAGACACCCCACAGCATAGTGCCACTTATAAGCATTTGCAGTGCCTCGAGCAAGAACGCTATTTCATTCATACATTACACAGCCTCTCCCTTTCTAGTTCATTCAGGAACACAAGCAAAAATAAAATGACACTTACAAAAAAAGAACAAAAGAAACCAGGGGATTGGTACTTAGGCCCTGCTCACCCCTTGTTTGCTATTTAAATAATTGC